TGTAAATGCTCTCTCCCTAGACCTCCTCAAGCCCTGAGATTTGGTGTGAGAGCTCCCACGACCTTCCCATACTTTTTAGTGTTGGGTAGAACACTAAACCCCCTTAGATCTAGGATTCAAGGCTACTACATTGGACATCCCGTAGTATGTCTCATCGGTGCGTAAGTTCATTTTCTTCAGAAACTATAAATCCTGCCTATTCGTGTCACATAGATGACGTTGCTTCCATCTTTTCCCTCTATATGTTTTGAGTGCGTGATTTTTTTCTCTCATTACTGCCTTAGTCCATCCATATGTTAGTGTGAACTGTGTATGTTGACATTTGAGCCCTTCTTTCCCTTTGAGTAGGAACTTCCTAGTCTCCCTTTCGTGTCAATCCCTTGTCCGGGAAGAATAATATAAGATCCTTAATCAAGAGTTTTCTCAGGCACTAGGCTCGAGATGTAATTAACCATGGGGGCTTGTGCCCGTAGGAAACGAAACTCCACCATCAAATATACCCCACTCGAGCTTATGTATTGGGTGGGGGAAACCCGTTGTTATGATCAGGTCGTATATATTACTACCCATCGAGTGCGTTGGCGAGAGCCGTTATCCTCAATGGTTAGTCGCATACACGATCTAATCTGCCCTCCCACTGGCCCACTTGCGAAGAGCGCGGAGACTTGCGATCGTTTCTATCCCTCGGGGTGCTACGGTCGAATACCTTCTGCACTCTGTAGCTGGTGGTGTCCTTTTGGAGGACCACAAGGTCGGGTTTAGGTCCAACCTGAGTTGATCCGAGCATAAACGGGTTGAACCGAACCTGACCCGTTTAGCTAAACTGGTCAGGAATTCCAACCCGGACATGATCCGAGTGGGTTTCCTGGTTGACCTGAATCGAGTCGTCGACCCGAATATTTTCCTTCATTCTACAGGCGCAATCGATGAGTCGCGGAGGTGATGGAGGTTGAAGTTGTGGAGGTCGGGCGCAAACGAGATGCCTTGGAGTCACATAGATGCAGAGGCGGTGCAGATCGCTGATGAGGCAGAGTTGCGGAGGATGGAGGCAACTGTCGAGTGGCGAACATGTGGAGACGCAGAGTTGCGGAGGTGGGGTGGACCCGATCGTGGCAAGGCAGGAACTCGTCGGAGCCGGTCTTGGGGCTGGCGGTCAGGGCCGTTGCCGGTTGGCATGTGGTAGCGCGGGATAGGCCGATGCCCGATGGTCGACTGGGCTTGGTCAGCACTGGATCCAGGTTAGCTGGGTCAACTCCATCAACCCGAATCCTACCCATTTTTCAAATGAGTCAGAAATTTGAACCCGGACCCGACTTGTTTCACAAATGGGTTGACCTGAACCCAGATTTTTTCGGGTCGGGTTCGGGTTGGGTTTCTGGTCGTGTCAATTTTTGACACCCCTACTTCGATCTATGTTGCTTTGGGGAAAGCGAAAAGCCATATGCCCTAGATTTTCATGAGGGGTTGATAACTATATCGTGGTGATTTAAGCCAATTATGGAGACTTTCGCGACATATCCTCTCCGCTAAAGTTCATGAGATATGAAGAACCAAGGCATACTCCGTGGGTTAGGATTTTGGTTTGCTTAAAATAAATTCTCAATTTAGATTTTATAGAGATGAAGATTGTATAGGATTTTAGCATTGACTAGTAGCAAATGACCAGCTTTGCCTTAATGGGTTACATCTCTATAAGAGGTAATCATCATATATTAGCGAGTTTATTGAAACTTCTTTGTTGAGAGTGGCTGAAAAAGGGATTGTGAGTGTCCTATTTTACATACTATGCTTGATATTTTATTTTTAATGGCAATCCATCTTGATTATCTTCAAAATCACTCACATAAGATTTGCACATTACTCATCTTTCATAAAAAAAAATATTAAAATAAAATTATATGAGAGGTAGGGCGAAATTCAGTACTCATGAGAACTAAAATTTTGACAGAGAAGAAGAAATCTCATCGTTTCAAGCAGAATTCTCATTCCTACTCTGAATCATATAATTTTTAGTATCATTCGAAATTTTCATGTTTTTCACTTTTTCCAACTTCAATATACCCAAAAAATCATAATTTTTTATGCAACAAATATTTTCTATTTTACCAATCTTTTTTTTTTAATTTAGAAAAGCAAAAGAAAAAGGAAAAGATCCTCAATAGGGTTCTATAACTAAAAATCATTATAAAAACAAATGGGAAAACAAGAAACACAAAGTCTTAGATATGTCGATTATTAGCACTAAGTCTTGATATGTCTATTCTTAACTCTGTCATTTCTCTGTACATTCTTCTCTTCTTCCACACTTCTGAACCTTCCACCTGTACAATTCCACCACCCTCATTCCCAGCATCTCAAAGCACTTTCAAAATTCCCCACCACACCACCATCTGTACACTTCCTCGCCTTCTACACACTTCCATTCTCTACCTAACAAACTTTTTTTTTTCCTCAACTTTTCAGCACAACCCCAAAACCTCACCACTCTATTATGCAAAACCCCTTTGCCATCTCTAATTCTCCACTTCTGATTACTACGTGAGATCTGATCAATCATATACTCGACCACTAATAAAACTTCCAAGAGCAGTTCAAAATTGAGGATTTTAAACTTTCGGAGATCATTGGTCTTGAGATGTCAAGAGTGTTATGAAACTTATAATGCTTGGGCCAATGGACTACCTTGGTAAGCCTGTAAGGCTTAAGGAATTGAAGATTTGAAGCTATGTGGAAAGATATGGCTGGGGGATCAATTAATGCAAAGAAGGATAAAAATGATACTAACAAAAGTCTAAAATACTTCTCAGTGCTGCAAGCCAAATATATGAATGTTGTTAACCAATTGGGAATAAGCAGAGCAGTTCAAAATTGAGAAAATGTGCCAATTGATAGCTTAATTGTCAGAACTTAGCTAACAACATTCCAAACATGCCTGAAGTGTATATAATGGAAGCTTTCTTTTAATGGCGGTTGATCAACAAAGAACGACTTATGTTCTTTTGAGAGATCCTACACTAATTTATAAAAAAAAAAGTCTATAACATCGTATAAAATAAAAATGTAAGACTACAAAAAATATAAAATAAGAGCAAAACAAACATTCCAAATATGATATATATTGGAGAGCTTAACACAAATTTGACCCATACCGGACAACCTTCTCTTTTTCTCTCTTTTTTTTATTAATCCTAAGATCTTTATAGAATGCATAGTCAAGATTATGATGGTGCTAGCAATTTGAGAGGGGGGTTTAACGGTTTGAATGCTCTATATTAATCCTAAGCTCGATATCTTATGGAATACCTTTTGCCAATTACAACGACATTTTATCGAGGCTTCTTTAAATAGCTTTCTAGTTTCTAGCACAAAAACTAAAATTTATCTAGCAGTTAAAAAGCCGTCCAAAAACGAAGTCTGAACCTACTCATATGTTAATAAACTACATTAAGAAGCAATAATAAAGCCGCCCCAAACGAAGCCTAAGTAGTCATGGGCAACTCAGCTTGCTGATATAGATATGCGTGGCATGGAAGGTTTCCCTTGCATTTGCAAAATTAGGAAGATGTTCGAATAAGCATTCCTAAAGCTTTTAATTTAGTCATAGCATTCATAAGTTTTGAAGAGGTTGTAATATACCTATTTGTGTTAGATAACTAAATGTACGTTAACTAATGATTAGGATTTTTCTATTACGGCTGATATGATGTGTGGTATGCTTTCGTAAGAAGAAAAAATTTCTATTGTTTGCTGTTCACAGCTATCTTTTCTCTTTGGAATTGACAATCTCAATTTTCCTAGTGGAGCTGAGTTTATTTAGGTTTTTAGTGGACTTGAGCTTGAGCCTAACTCAAGTTCATTTAATGAGCTCAAATTCGACTCATTGAAAAAAAAAATGTAGACTCAAACTTATTTGAAAAACTCGAGCTTGACTCGATTATTAAGCTCGTTCTTTTAGTTTTATACTAAATTTTTTTAAAGAATCTTAACTTTTAATATATAAGTTAAATAATGATAGCATATATAAACAATTAAAAATAAAATAAAATGTGTTTATAATGCTAGTATAAAATTGATTTCTAAATGTATTTCAAAATAATCTAGAAGCTTGATGATACTCAAGACATGCCGTTCCATTATGATTTCATGACTACGAGGAAGACGACGAGTTTTCAGCTAGTCTTTGGAGAAATTGTTTTGTGAGGATGCCGACGCAGTTTTATATTCAGAGGCGAATCAAGTATAGCCATGTCAGCGGTACCGAGCAGTACCGAGCCGCGGTACCAAGCGAAGGGGTGACGTGGTGCATTCCGATTGGTCTCCGGATGACGTTCGATGTCCGCATAAAATAATTTTTTCAGTCTTTGACTTCGTTTGAGACAATTTTCTTACTGTTTTATTAAATAGTTTTTTAATAAAAAAATATTTTTTAATTTGAAATTTATGTACTAAAAAATTACTTCATAAATAATAAGAAAATTGTCCCAAATAAAATCTTTAAGAACATAAATGCTTTCATTTCATACAATTCAAATAATAGTATAATGCAAGTAGAGGAGTAGCCTAGGCAATGGTGCGAAGTCGAATACACTAAACCATATAATTTTTTATTTTTTTAATGCACTATACTATATAATTGAACTTGAGAGATATCCCTTCTACTCTCTCTCTCTAGACTGAAGAGGCCGTTCTTAGTACAATATTCATGTATAGAAGAGATTATTACGTGCGGAGTCCGGATCGGAGAACATTCCGGTTCTTGTGAGTGTGCACATCAAAAAGCGTAGTAACAGTTCACCATTACGCTTTTGTTGCGCACACTCACAAAAACTGGACACAACTTCGGTCAGAACTCCGCGCGTAATAATCTCTCCATATCTAGAGCTCATGAGATTAGAAAATTCTACCAATAGCACTTTTACAGACATTAATATGTAAAACCTTTCTTACGATCTGTGTACATCAATGCCAAGCTTAAGAAACGGAAGAGAAGAAAAAAAAAATGACATAAATAAATCCGTTAATGGCACATTGATTAAAAATGAGGTTCGGTTTACACACAAATGAGCAAACAAAAGAAAGCTCGTTAAGAATACATCAATTCATCAGACATAATTAAGAACAAAATTGCAGTTCAATCTGCAGGACAGCTTCCTGGAAAGATCAAACCAATTAGGCAAAGCTCGCATCTCATAACTCTGGATCAGAAAGTAAAGTGGCATTGCCTGAACTCTATTTCCAGGCCATCAGTGCTTGTGGTAATTGCTCTGCTCTTTCATTATTGTCGAAGAGTTACCTGCTCTTCCCTCTCTTGATCTCCCCTTTCTGGCTTCAATTTGCTCTAGAGTTTCCACCACTTCCATCATCGATGGACGGCTCTTAGGATCGCCGGCGAGACATCTGAGAGTGAGTTGTGCTGCCTGAAGTGCAGCCTTTGCTGGATACTGACCCTCAAGCCGCTGATCCATCAGGCGGCTCAGCTTTCTTCGATCAGAGAGAAATGGCTTAGCCCAGTCGACTAAATTGTGCTGCGCGCTAGGTCGTGTTGAGTCAAGCGCCCGCAGACCAGATAGTATCTCAAGCAACACTACTCCAAAGCCATACACATCACTCTTAACATAGAGATGACCTGAAATTTGCAAGGACAATTCTGTTGGTGAGTCTTGGTAGGTATAGAAAAATTATTATGTGTGGGTTCAGATTCGTCCAGAGACCAATAAAAATGCGTTACGTCGCCTCAAAAATGTACCGCGCTCGGTACCGTGGACGGGAGAACTATCCGATGTCCAAACAGAATAATCTCTCCTTGGTATGATTAAACATGAAAAATAAACAAAAGTTCTTTTTGAATTATCTTTAAGAAATTCTAAGAGAAAGTTCACAGGTGCAAGTGCAAGGAAGACTGGAAGTTAATCAAGCTATGGTTATATGTTCAATTGTGAGTGTTATTTGTGGTGCTAAATTAAATCTATTTTCCTTTTACGCAACTTTTATACATATTATCTTTAATTTACACCGTCTGCTTCATAATTCTTTGATGTTGTATTTATCAATCCATATTATTGGTACATCTTTTACACCTATTGTACATGCTCAGATCATTGAAGTCAATTTTTTACCATCCTATCTTTACTAAATGTTACCCCCACATTCTCATAATCATTCATCCTAATATTCTCATTTTAATCACTCAATTTAACTATTATTGATCATCATTTGAATCTATATAATATAATTGAATTAACTATAAGTTATAAATTTTACCTTTAAATATGCACGATTATATGAAACAAAAAAGAAAACCAACTTATCTATTTTGATTCCACAATGAAAAAAAGAAACTTTTGGTTCTCTAGATTTCTCCTCCTTTCCAGGGACTCTTAGCAGTGTTTGGAAGCACTTAAATGAAAGCCTAACAAAAAGTTGACACTAAATTGTGCCAGGAACCCCAAAAGTGCATTGGATAGTGGTGTCAATTATTACATAGATGAATGCTTTCTTGGTGGAAAGGATTCCTATCCTAAGAACTGTTACCTTTACTGTTTGATTGCAAAGGAAATCGCAGAAAATTTTGCAAAATAAGAGCTGCTATTATGACCAAAATATGGGCCAAATCCTTAAGCCTAGACCTAGGACCAGACCACCTAGGTTCACCCAACCAATCTCTAAAGGATTAACCTTCCCAGGCCCTCATGGTGGCAGCCCACTGTCGCATGATTTCAGCCCACTCTTGGGACAAATTATTACGTGCGGAGTCCGAACGTCGTCCAGAGATCAATAAAAATGTCTCATGTCACCCCAAAAGTGTACCGCACTCGGTATCAAGTGGTACTGGACTGTTCTCCCGTCCGGTGTCCGCACGGAATAATCTCTTTGCTCTTGGTGCCTGCTCAACGTAAGATCCATCTGGCCTTGCTGGTGATAGAGCACAATTCACGGCTCTCAAATCTACCAAAAGCAACCATAAGTTGCCACCGCAAAGGAACGGTGATTCCGGCCAATTTCCAAATTGGTTTGATAAGCTAGAAACTTTAGCAAACAAGAAATTCCTCAAGTTTTAGATAGTATGTACTTGACAAATGAAATTAATTGGCCGACACTTTAGGATTTCAGGTGCGCTTAAAAGTGCCTAAATGAAATTTCTTTAGGGATATTTTTATAATCAAAGGCAGTGGAGTAACAAATTATGCAAGCCAATGAAATAAAAACATGAGATGTGACGTACAGTCAACTCTAAAAGTGCAGAAAATGTTATCATTTCAGATAAAGTGCAAAAGATAGTGGGCTCAATTATTACATAGATGAGAACATTTGGACTGGGAGGGAACAAGAGTGTTCGGCACTCATACCTGTAGCAACATATTCTGGTGCTGCATATCCAAAGGTACCCATCACTCGTGTAGTAACGTGGGAATCGCCACCGGTTGGACCTTGCTTTGCTAGCCCAAAGTCAGAGAGCTTTGGGATGTAATTCTGAGTAAGAACAATAGAGATCAGATTGAGTCCAAAGCTCGAACTTAACATAAGGTTTAGAAGGTTATTAAGCAACATTACAGAGTCTAGAAGGATATTGGAAGCCTTGAAGTCTCTATATATCACTTGCTTTTCTGATGAATGCAAAAAAGCTAAGCCTCGAGCAGCTCCAAGCACTATTTTCATCCTCAAGCTCCATGGAAGTGGCTCAAAAGCTGCACCTCCTGTACAATGCAATGATAATTACATACTAAGCACTATTAAATGCACTAAATACAAACAATAGAATATAAAAATAGGACATCAACAAAGATTCAGCCATAAAACTTAAGAATTTGCATTTAGAATGTGAAGTAATGGGAATGGTTATTAATTTTTTTAGCGCGAATACTTTACAAAATCAAAGAGTACTATGTTTTCCAAAATCTTATGATGTAAAGTTATGAAATGAACAGAGGTAGAGAACGGTATTACATAAGAATTTGTTGTACTTACTTCTGAAGAGGTGATTCTCTAAGCTTCCCTTTGGCATAAATTCATATACAAGAAGAAGTTCCTTGTCCTCCCAGCAATATCCCAAGAGCCTGACGAGGTTGGGATGTGAAAGTCTTCCTAAGAAGTTTATTTCAGACTGCAAAAAAAAATTAACAAGAAACGAAAAGATAATAGAAGTTAACAAGATGGAAAACTAGAAACACTCAGTGGTGGGCACCAATTTAATGAAAGAAATAAATCATAGATAAAAAACAGCATAAACATGTAAGCCATCAGTTATGACCTATATGAGACCCAATAAATTTTAGCTAATTTCTCAAATATGCTTCTGTTCATCTTCTTCGTGCAATAGAAGCAGCAGTTTGACTTCAATAAATCAAGAAGAGAAAGTTAGGGATATTAGGGACAGAAATCTCAAAGGTACCCATATGTCCTAAACATCCAAAATCACCATGGCCGATGGGTTTTTTGCCAACATTCTTAGGAACCATGAGTGTTGAGCAGTGTTGTAAAGCCATCCCCATGGAATTCTGTGTTTGATTTCAATCATAACTTGGAGTGAGAAATTATTCTGTGCGGACACCGAATGCAGTTTGCCTTCCGGAGACCAACCAGAATGTGCCACGTCAACGGTACTGGGCCGGGTACCAAACAAGGGGTGATGTGACGCATTATTGTTGGTCTCTGAATGGAGTTCGGCATCCGCACAAAAAAATTTCTCCAAGTTGATTAGATCATAATCAAGACATCAACAATAACATTAAGATTAGAGGAAGCTCCAAATATCTAAATTTTTAGTTTTTGTCTGATTTGCAGAAAGCAAACTTATCAATTCTCAAGGAACTTGAAAAAACTACTCGAGTAAAATGCGAGACATATAATCAGATAGCACTTAGCCAAAAATATGATACGATAATCAAATAGATAGTCCATCAAATGATTATTTAAACTTTACCTGCCATTCCGCCAAACCTTGCATGCTCTCAGATTTCATTTTTTTCACAGCAACAATTATACCAATCCCACTCTTTGTAGGAGTAAGAGTCTTCTCATCAAGCCATCCCTTATAAACTGTTCCAAAACCTCCTTCACCAAGAACTTTGTCAGACTTGAAGTTCCTTGTGGCACTCTTTAGCTCAGCAAAAGTAAAGACCTTAAGATTTGCCGCCTCGAGGATTCTACCCTCAGAAAACCCTTCACTGTCGTTGAAGTTATCATATGTGCTGTCACTAAAGCTGGAAAGCTTAGTGGTAAAAGTGCTGGCCGCCCTTGCAGTTGAGGTCCCTGGTTTGAAGGAAACAGAAAAATGAGGGCAAGAGGATAAAAACTTTGTCTACATGTCTACATATGTCATACAAATTTTTTAAAGGATTTGTATATGGAATTTGGGAAAAAAAAAATACAGACTATTCACTATAAATAAAAAGAAAAATCTTAAGTTAATAAGAAATATAAATTTTTGAAAGGTCAAAATGAGACGAAGTACAAATATTACTTCACATGAAACAAAATATTTTTGAATAGTTTATACATACATATAAGATAAGGTATAACACCAAATTTGCTAACAGATTAATAGTTCCTTTTCCAGAAATCCAATCAAGAATGCGGATAACTTATGAAAAGGAGGTTCAATCTTCAAGAATTGAAGGCCACACTTTTTATAATCCAAATTAAAAGAACCAAAGATTCAAACTCATAATCAGTCGAGCAAAGAATAAAAGCTCCTCTTTCAAAAAAAAATCAAACAAGGATTGCTCGTAATTAGGAATAGGAAGAATTAGATTGCAGTTCATGTAATCAAATTGCACTCCCCCCGAGAATCCAAATCGAAAGAATGATTAGTGAAGCTCCAATTGCGGAATAAAATCCGTAGCTCATCAATGAAAAAAAAAAATGTTTCTTACGAATCAGAATACCTAGGCTGGAAGGTCTCGTGGTAGAAGGATTCAGAGATTTCACTCGACTGTCGAGGCAATTCCCCATGATTTCTCTTCTTCGTTGTCTTTTCCCTTCGAAGAAGTAGGAAAGAGGAGCAGTAGAGAAAGAGAGAGGGAATTGAGGATTTTAAAAAGAAAGAAAACGGAAGGAAGAAAGAGAAAGGAGAGTAGACGGTGAGGAGAGAGAGAAGAGAGTTAGAGGAAGAGACCGCGAAGCTCATGCCGCACATCTACGAACTTTTCGTGGAACACGACGTTGTCCAGAGTACAAGCCCGGCTGCATTTTTTCTTACAATAATTTTACTGTTATGCCATAAATATTTAACGCAAATATTTTTTAATCACTAGAGTTTATATTTGATTTCAATTTGATACTTCCATTGTTTAATTTCAAGCCTAGCTTTAACACTACATGATGTGATACCACTTAAAAGTAGATTTTCAGCATAGAAATTTCTTAAATTAAAAATTTTTATACTAAAAAATTATTTTAGAAAATAAAGAGAAAGTCGCCCCAGATTTCGTTTGAGACGGCTTTTTTACCGCTTCATAAAGTTATTTTCTAGCACAAAAATTATTTTAAGAATGAGTAAGAAAGCCGTCCCAAATGAAATCTTAATTTGACTTAAACATCATTTGGGAGGGCTTTTATACTGCTTCTTAAATTAATTTTTTAGTTAAAAAATTTTAATTTTTGTATTAAAAAGCTAATTTTAAGAAGCAGTAAGAAAATCATCCTAAACGAAACTTTAGTGTTTGTTTGGATCAACTTTCTGGCACTTTAATTTTCGTGCTGCAATCAAATTTTTATTTGCCTATCATTTTCTCAATGTTTTTTTTGCAAGTTCTTAAAAACATTAATGCAGGAAGTTATTTTTTACAATAAGATCTACTAATTTGTGAAAATTGTAAAAAAATTGTTGTCTAATATATATATATATATATACAAATTATTTTTAGAGATTATTCTGATAAAAATAAGCAAAACATGAAACTAGAGACAAATTATAAGGATTAAACATAGTTTATTCTTAGAGATTATTTGGGGCGGATACAATTTTTTTTTATAATAATGGTGGTTATAAAGCTGTTATGATAAAATAATTTCTTTAAAAGTTATTATCATCGTTGATAAATTTTTAAAATAATTCGTAGTTCTAAAGTAAATGCCAAAGCAGTAAAAAAATTTGAAATATTATATAAGTAAATATCAAAGTTCACCTATCAGACAAATAAATAAATAAGATTTATGTAGTACATAAAACGCCGAATTCGATATTCATTAATCTATGATAAACACTATCATAAATATTCAAATTTGATTAAACCTCATGTTTTTCTCTTTTTTAGAAAATTTTCCTATAAAAACTATGG